TTGCACCTAACACTTGAAGTCCTTTGATATGCATCGTTGAAGTCACATAGAAAATGTATTTTCAAGTATTACTAACCACTTCTGAAATAGTTTTGTTTTTTAGACTCTTCCTTTCTTCACCCTCTGCTGTTTTTCTCTTAGCTTCTAGTGGAGCCAAAGGTAACAGAGGGACTGACTTGCTGATTTTCTACCAAAATAAACAACCACCACTTGGGAAAGTGCAGCCGTCTGGTGTACACAGGACACGGAGCCAGCAGGGGGCATGCACCCACCTATTATTCTTCCAATAGCTCTTTATAGCCCAGGACTACAAAAACAGGCCACTCTTCAGATACAAATGGACCATATAGCCTTTTGGTCACAATCTCAGGATGAGAACAGAGTCACCTGACCTGGATCTGAATTCCATTTCCAATGTCAGCTGCTGTCTGATACGGGACAAACTACTTCCTAAGAATTAAATAAGATAATACATAATGTTGGCACAAAGAAAATGTATAAACCATGTTGCTGTTAACTACTACTGATCCTAATATTATTACTACTACTGTGGCAGAATTAAGAAGTCTTTAATCACAGTGATCCAAAAAATGAGTTTCAAGAAATGCTAGTAATGCTAAGGAGGCAGCCCTAGACTGAGGAGGAGGCTAGGTAGGTTCTTGGTTCTTGGCTTTGCAATCATGTCTTCTCTCCTTTTGAGAGACGATGCAGCAGATTAGGGTTCAAAGCTGGCTATAGCCACTAACTGTAAGATAGTGATGCTTCTCTCAAGCCTCTTCTGTAGAAGCGTATACAGCTACCTACCTCATAGAGCTGTTCTGAGGATTAATGAAATCGCCAAGGAAAAACAGCTGGCTGCTTAATTTCTTTGTTGTCTGCACTACCTATAAGTTGAAATCCTACTAAAACGAGCTTATAACCTCATGATTCCAAAGAGCCTAAGCCATTATATGAAGCAGAGGAGAAATGCAGTACATGTCAATACGTAGCAAGGAGCTGGAGAACCAAAATGCAAAGCTTTGTGTCTGATGTTAAGTTTTAACTGCAGTATGTACAACTGTGTTAAAATGTAGTACCTGAGTACTAAAATGGCTGAGTACCTGAGCCATTTTAAATGGCTTTAACTTGTCTGTCACTGGAGCAAAGTCATAAAAAGTCTCAGCGCCAAAGAAACTGTGTACATGTTACAAATATTTCTGCATCGTCTTGGTCCTAAAGTGCTACTGAACCTTCACCGTGACGGCACCGGGTGTTTGCACAGCAAAGAACACATTAGAGCATTTGAGAGGCTGGTCGGTGCTTGAGATATTGTTAAATGCTTTAAATAATTTTCTTAATTCTCCCTCATTTGAGTTAGCCAACTGCCATTTTTCTTCTCTAGCACAAAACCATGCTTTGGGCCCTCACATTTCCATTAAAATAAAATATATATCCTATTTCCTGCCTGCCATGCATCCATTTGTACACATTTAACTTGTGTGTGTTTAATTGTAAAACGACTGCTAATAAAATAAGAATATTAGAAGTGAGACCAGCAATTGAGACTCAGGGTCTATCAAAATAATTTCACAATAGTGATACTGCTTTGGTTGGCACTTTGTGGTAGATATCGTTAAACAACAGTCAGAACTATCAACTGAAGCATTAAGAGGTATTATCATTCTCTGAAATTATTATTTTTGTGTGTATGTGGTGCTAGGGATTGAACTCAAGCATATGCTAGGCAAGCATTCCACCACTCAGTTATATTCCTAGTCCTGGAACTATACATTTTTAATCAAACAACAAATAACTTTCAATTGTGGGCAAGGGCTGCTATTCTATATTAGTATTTAGCATCCCTTGGCATACTGTATACAGTTGGCCCTCCAAATCCATGGCATCTACCACCTCGACTCAACCAGCACAGACTGAAAATGCTCCCCCACAAAGAACTGTATCTGTACTGAACATGTACAGATGTTCTGTTATAATTCCCTAAGCAACGCAGTGTAACAACTACTTCCATAGCATTTACATATATTGGTATTCTAAGTAATCTAGAGATGATTTATAGTGCAGAGGAGGATGTCTGTAGGTTATACACAAATACTACACCATTTTATGAAAGGGACTCTGCATCTGCAGGGCCTGGCATGCTCCACAAAGAACAACTATTTATTTATATTATATATATTTGTGTGTGTGTGTGTGTGCGCGCGCGAACGCACTTGCTTGTTTTGTTTGTCGTCTCTGTCTCCTTTACTGCTGAATCCCAAAGGTTAAATGCTAGTTGGCAAGTGGTAGGTGTTCAAAAGGTTCCAATTGTCTCCAGTTACTCACTCATAGCCCCTAAAATGGAATAATTATTTTCTCCAGGGGCCAAAGGGTATTGACTCATACCAGCCTTTTCATTTATTTAAGGAACTTTAAAGTCACATGTTGGATTCTAACTACATAGCCAAGCCTTTTTTTTTTTTCTTTCTTTCATTGTTGGGGTTGAACTCAGGCCTTGAGCTTGCTAGGCAGGCGCTGTACGGCTTGAACCATGCTGCCAGCACTATGGCCAAGTTTTTTTATTCAACAGTAAAAAGCCAAATCCAACTGAACTGACAGATTGGTATATGTCCTCCTGAACACACGTGAAACATGTATCTCTGGACTCTACTCTGGTAAACCCTGGATTTACTAAAATAGTCACCAGTTTCATTTACTGCTTTATATACTGCTTTAGGTTCATCACCTCTGGAGTGTTCTTCTGTCTTGTTCTTTCCCTGTCTAATCCTCCACTCCTCAGTTTAAGGATTATTTCTTCTAGGAAGATTGCTCTTGTTCCCAATCACTCACTGACAGCATTCAGTATCCTCTCTCCCTAGCAGTCACTATCTATCACAATGATCTCACACATGATTGACTGTCCCCCTTACTAGACACGCCACTCCACAAGGGCAGAGGCTATGGCTGCCTGGGCTTCAGCAGCCCCTCTCACCTACAGCAGTTGCATGTAAATGCTTACAGGATAGACTGCATGAGTCTACCAGTGACTCAGAATGTTAAGCCCAACAAAAACCAGGAACCAACAAAAAGGAAATGGAACCTGACAGGTCCACAGCTGGACAGCACAGCAACAATGAGGGGCATCACTGGAGAGCACAGCAACAATCTCTTTTCATTAAAAACATCTCTTTATTGTGATAAAAACATTGCATGGTCTTTTAACCAGGGAAATAAAAATCATATTGGAGCTCCTGTATCCAGTGCTTTGGAGTTCTGTTCACCCAGGAGATATTCAGATCTGACAAGCAATTCAAAAGACTTTGAAAACTAGCACAGCTTACAATAGTGGCAGGAGTATACTGAAGTAGAAGAGGACCCCCAGTTCTTCTGTTTACTAAATAAATACCCTAAGTCATTGAATGTATCTGGGCCTCACTTTCTTCATCTATAAAATGAGGAAAACAACACCTATCTTCTGGGGTACTATGAAGACAGAAGGCAATAATCAATAACAAAGTACTCTGCAAACAATGGGGTGTTGTACAAACATGAGTTACAGGAAGCAGAAGGGCGGGGCCCAGCCTTCAACCAAAGGACCCAGAAAGAACAGGAAGCAGAGGATCAGAGGTAGCCCTTCGTTGTTATTTTAATGCCCCCAATGTGTGTGGATTTCAACCCACCAGTGTTACTCTTGTAAAGCCCTCAGCCCATGGTGAAGAGCAGTCTGAACAGTCTTCTCCCCTGGTAATAAGAGCTTTACTTCTCTGTACCTGCCCTGATGGGCCCAATGACCTACTTTATATCGTTTTCCTTATTTCTTCCCTAACTTGAAGCAGCTCTATTTTTCCACCAGCAATCAGAGTTCAGAGTTCAGAGTTCATGGGCGGGGACATCAGTGGGTCCCACATGGGTTCCCCTATCTCTACTGTAGTGACGGCTGGCCAAGACCCTCTGCCCAGGGCCCCTCCCCACCACTCACCACAGAGGCTTTCCACCAAGTAGAGCACAAACTTTGCTGAGCTCTGGAGGTCACCTCCAATGCATGGTATCTTGGTTATTTACAGCAGACTGTGAGCGTGTTCATAACACTTCTCTTGATAATGGAATGAGGGCAAGGCTGGTGACACACAATGAGCTTGGGACTCATTTGAGTAGCTCCTGAGATGGGCAGGGTGGGGACATGGGGAGTGTGGAAAGGAGTTGGTGAGGCTCCCAAAAGCTAACTCATGATTCCTTCGATTTCTGCTTGGAACTCACCCACACACAGATGCAGCACTCATACTTGCAGCCAAGGAGTGGGTGTGAACAAAGGGTATGGGCTCATGGGGTGGGAAAAAAGGGAGAATCACATATGCATGGAAATGATGGGACCATGGGTACAAGATGAGGCAGTGGGGGGAGAAGAAAATGACAAATAGAGCCCAGATGCCAATGTTGCTCGTATTTATATTAAAATGCATTGCATTCTATCTTAAGCTATCAAAGTGGCACTCTGTTACTTTTTCCCCAAAAAGATAATTTATTATTTTGAGAAAACACAGACTTGGAAAAGCCATACAGAATAATGGCTGACTATGTAGGCTTTAGAGTTTTGAAGATTTGAGTTTCAGTCTTTAACCATATCAACTATGTATCTCTGGGGAAGTTACTTGTATGTTTCTTTATCTATCAGATAGTACTTACCCTCACAGGGTTTCTGTGAAAACAAAATGTTACCAAATATCTAAATACCTCTGCACAGTACCAGCCACATGGCAAGGCTCACTAAGTTACCTGCTGTTATATTTTATTAGACACAAGAGCCTACCAAAGGCCTTAAACGTTCAGCTCTGAAGTTTGACATATCTGCCAATAGGAATGCCCTTCTCCTTGGGTGAGGGGCTGCATGACTGTTCCAAGTCTGTTTCCACAAAGGACATCTGTCAGGTATGAGGACAGAAGAAAAGGATGAAAGAGCACCAAGAAGGTGAAGGGGGTTAGGAAGCAAATCCTAGATCAAGACACACATATCTGGGCACGCTCACCGAATCTGGGTCTCGCTGCTGTTCGAGAAAAGCTGAAAATTCCACCAGGCGAAGCTTGGTTGTGCCAATGGAACGGCCCTGCCAGGCGGGGACCGAGGGAGCTGGGGCAGATGCAGGCTCAAATCCTGAAAAAAACCAATTATCACCTTTACACCTTGGCCATTGCCTACACCTAAACCTCAGGCCAATACTGGGGCAGAACTCTAAAGACAGGTGGCCCAGAAGGACCAAGCGCCCCCTCTTTACCAGCATCTAGGGGCAAACTCAGCTAGACTGTGGTGACATTCTGGCTGAGGCTTCTAGAAATCGTGACCAGCTGGACCAGCACAATGCATTAGCTCCTTATGAAGCTAACTTGAGCTAAGGTTAAGGGCTATAGTAAGAGGTCATCTCATCCCGGACAAAGATGTCCAAGCTGGGGACCAAGCCAAGAATAGCTGAAGAGTCTGAGGGAATGCTTCCAAAGACCTCCTGTGATACCTGGATGTGCCATGCATGGCTTGTGTTGGTTCATCTTCTTTCTTAAGTCTATGGCTGGCAGCATTCTAGAATATTCCCTCAGGATGCTCCACGGTATTGGAGCAGAGGACAAAGTGTGTATGTATTTTTAGTTTGGGGCATCTACATTGGAGAGCAATTGTACAGCACAGAGCAATAATTTTTACAAACTACCTTGAGCAGTCACTGAGTGAAGACTGTGCACATGTGTGAGTGTGGGGGATGAGGGAGAAAGGAAGGCAGACCAAAATGCCTTAATGCCTTCCTTAAATGTAAGCTTTTCTTTACAGAAAAGGTTCTAGGAATTGAAATCTTTCTAAAAATGAGTGATTAAAACCCTATTTGCCACTCAAGACTTGGATTACCCAATTCAGCCAGTTTATGTGAAGGAGGGAACCACAGCTTTCCCTTCTAAGTGTGACCCAGTGTCTTAAGTAAAAGTGGTCAGACTTCCTGTTTCTTTTTTTTTTTTTTCCTTTTTGGTGATAATGGAGTTAGAAATCAGGGTTTGGTGTTTGCTAGGCAGGTGCTCACTGCTCAAGCCACACCCCTAGCCCTTTTGGCTCTGGTTATTTTGGAGATAGACTCTTGATTTTTGTCCAGGCTGGTCTGGACCATGATCCTTCTGTTACACTTCTTGCTATAGCCTGGTTGACAGGTGCATGCACCACCCCAACTCTGTTGAGATGGGGTCTTGTAAATGTTTTTGCCCAGGTCAGCCTGTAACCATGGTCTTCTCATTTGAGCCTCCCACACAGCTGGGATGTTAGGTACATACTATTGGTTGGGATTGGGTCTTGCTAAATGTGTTCCCAGGCTGGCCTCCAACCACAATTCTCTGGATCTCAGCTTCCCAAGTAGCCAGTACTACAGGTGTGAGCCACTGGCATCTGATTAGGCTTCCTGTTTCTTTCAAGCCCACCTAAAGAGCTCTTAGGAAATGAGTGAAGGGATTCTGGACCTGACAGGGGATCCCCTGAGCTTTAGGCCAGGCCCCACCCTTCAGGAACAGCAGGGCTGGAGGGGCAGCCATGATTCTACAAGTGAAAGGAAATGTACAACCCACTTTGGGAACAAAACTGACCTGTCTGCCTGCTGTGGGAACCACTCATTCCCCAGAGAAGAAGAATCACAAAGACTCACCTGGAATGGGGGCTGTGACTGCTGGCTGAATGGGGTAGGCCTGCTGCACAAAGGGCTTGACACTGCAGACAAATGGGTGACAAGAGTCAAAAATCATGGGTGTAATACTGGCTACTGCCCAGGCCTGGCCCTGTGACCCTCCTGACCTCTACACAGTTCCCTGTCTGTAGGGGGTAGTACATCCCTGACAGGAATCTGACAACTTAGGGATGGTTGCTCTCAATTGGAAGCCAGCAGGATGCTTGGGATCAAACCCCCAAGCCCCATGCCAGTTCAATAGAATGAGCTGGAAAAGGAGTCAGCCTGACTTCCAAGTGCCATGATAGCTACCTTTGGACCTCTCTTTTCATCCCCATAGACAAGGAGATCAGCTATCACCATGTTCAAGCAAGGTTTGGGACATGCTTCAGGCTTTCCTTCTCTGTTTCAGATGAAATAGTCCAAGACCTTTTAATAATACATAGGCAGTATTTCCTTCCTGCTTTATCTCCAAACTGCTCTTAACTCTGGTTGACAGAGCTTGTCTCCCTTGCCCCAAGGCATCTTGTTTCTCTCCTACCACAGGGAGCCAGAATGGAGGAGCTATAGGAACACTTCTGCTGCCCTCTCTCAGGCAAGGAGGACCCCAGGCTCGGCCCTCCAGACAGAAGGGACAGGGGCCCACCTCCTGTTTCTAGCTGGATGACTGCTAATACTGAACGTAGCAGCACAGTACTTATACCCCATCTGGATCTGAGAGGTCTATCCCTTTCCTGCTCCTGGCCTCAGGAGGACACTCAAGGGGATGGTTTCTGAGATCCCAGTTCATCCCTTCTTTCTGGTGTTGAGAGCTTTCCCCCAAGGGTAGGCTGCAACCAACCCCCTGGTTAGTGTCCCTCACCAGACTTACTCTTGTGAGGATCCTGGTTGCCCAGTTTGTATCATTCCAGGCCAAAACTGGAAGGCAAAAGGCAAAGACTTCAGGATTAGAATTCATGTCAAAGCACAAATCAGAATGAATATACACTGCAACTTCTGTCAAAGGAGGTTCTGATCACCCACCAGCTGTGGTATCACCTTCCCCTGTGCAGACATGGTTACCACTGTGTAAAGGATCACAAAATACTCCTGGCCTGGCCTGGGTGACCTGAAAATCCTGCACACAGGAGACTAGGTGGCAGCTCTTCAGTGTTCTGGCTACACCTCACAGAGAACTGGTGCATTGTGGGCAGGGGCTCCTGGGTATTTTGCTGCTTTACCCATGGATGTGTTCATCCTCCTCTCCCACCCCAAGTACTCCCTGAGTACTTCAAACTGCCTCCGCAGTCTGTAGCAACCAAGGCCCAGTGGTGCAGTGGACAAAGTTCAAAACAGAGGGTCAGGAGCTTGTTGAAGCAACACAGGCACTTTCTTTGAGTGTCCCAGAGGCCTTTGGCACCTGTGGTCCCCCAGCCTTGGGAGTCATGCAGCCCTGGAACTGAATCCTGACATCACTATCCATCTGACAATAACAAAATTACCCACACTCGTTCTTTGCCACTGACTAACCTCAGCTTTTGCATCTGTAAAATGGCAACATGACCAAGGTATTTAAATGACCTGAGGATTAAATGAGATTATAACATAATACTTCTCAGCTCTTGCTGCTAGGTGTCTAATTAGGGATTAGTTACCATAAAGTGACCCTGAGAACACAGGGACAGACACCAAGGACCAGAAAAAAGGGTACCAGAAAAGTGACAATTTCATTGACTTGAGGGACGGAAGATTCCCTCCCTCTTCCTCTTCTCTTTCCTCTACATTCTGTTTTTCTCTCTCAACTCCTTCTTCTCTTCCCTTTTCTCTCTAGTCTTTGCCTCCCTCCCATTTTTTCTTTCACCATTTTGCACCCAGCACTGGTTCATCAAAGGTGGTCTTTGTCCTTTGGTTGATAAGTGCCAGGTAGAGGTTTGGTACTGACCCACGCCAACCCCATAACCTAGTGGCTATCATTCCTGGACGCAGGTTCTTACCCCCGGAGCCCCTGGGAAGGTGGGGCGTGGGATTCCAGGCAGCCCCAGCTTGTTGTGGATGGCAGTGGCTGAGACGATCTGCGCTGATGACATGGCCGCCATGTGCTGCAGGGCCTTGTCCTTGGCAGTCTGATCCTTGAAGGTGACAGTGACACACTGACTTAATACAGAACATACAGCTACCAGGCAGGTGAAACAGGCACAGCCACGAGCACATGGACTAAAATACAGAGCCACAACAGAGGCTGGGAAAAGCAAACATGCGTGGATAAATAAACACGGCCAGGAGGCGAAAACACTCAGCCTACTGGAAATCTGAATGCTTGCTAAGAACACCCAGTGGCAAGGTTTTTTGTTTTAAAAATCTTAATCCATTTTCTAACAGAATAGGAAACATCTCAGAACAGTAGACAATTATTATTTTTTCAGTTTTCAGGAGATTTCTCCAATTACTTAACACAGTAGGGGCAAAGGAGGCTCTGCTTTTAAGTATATAGATGAGAGGTTGGAAGACAAGAGAAATGGCTGTGGACTGGGGAAGGACCAACCGCAGACCACAGGGATCCCTATCTGGATGCCTGCTGTCATGGACCATGGTACCAGGTACTGCTGGAGTCAAGCAAGGCCAGAAGCCCTGGCAGTCACCTGCAGGGAATGGCTCAGAAGCAGCAGGGCATGGGCAGGGAGTGGGCCAAGCAGCATGCTGGCAGGGCACATGCTTTCTCCAGAATCCCCGCCTAGGTCTAAGGCTATGTGGTTTCTTAGGAAACCCCCGGAAGCAGGGAACGCTATAGGTAGGAGACTTCTCCTTTGACTAAGTAGGGGTCTTTTCTAGAAAAGCCAAGAATGATAACACAAAGCTAGCCAAAAAAAAAAACAAAAAGTCTGCCAAGCACAGCTAAAATACAGAATACTCAGTTTGGTGAAAATACTTACCATGCTTGTAACCTGGATACAATAATAAACAATTTGTTAAAAGGGTTGCATACAAAGGCACGGTTATTTTTCTTCTTCAGTTAAATATATGTATACAAATAAAATAACAGGGCGTGAGAAAATACACAGGAGCATAGTGTCGCCCCCCCCTTTAGTAGGAATGTATGATCCAGATTACTATCTAGAAATAACCACCACCACAAACAGAAGCTACCCACCCCCACCCAACCCCCTTGAGCTGTCTCTATGGCTCCCAGAACAGATGGAGCAGGGAGCAATGGTCAGATTTGTCATGTGGGAGGCCTGCTGCTGGCAGGCAGTGTTGTATGTTTGCCCAGCATGTAAAGCTCCAGGCTTCAGGGAGAGGGTCTATACTCTGGGTCCACACACCATCAAAGCAGGAACAAAATGGTGATACCAAAATAAATGAAGTGACTTCCTCAGCTGCCACTCAAGAGTTCACGGTGAGGGACAAGTCAAAGGCAGCTGCAGCTAAGACATTAAGTGCCAGCTGGGTTGAGGCTTCCATGTTTACAGATCTAACCAAAGGTGAGGAATAAATAGGCTGAAGTGCCAAAGGCAAAGCCAAGAGGAGTTTAAGAAAACTAAAACCTGTAAGACAATTCTGGGGGCTTCTAAAAAAGACCCATAAGTTCTCCATAGTGTGGATACCACTATGTCCCATGACACCAGGAACACCATAGGAGTTTTTCACCCTTAAAAATGATACGGTGAGGAGTGAAGGGGAGCAGAGGAAAAGGAAGGAAGAAGGAGAGAAAAACAGTATAAAACTTGTTTCAATTTTTATAATTTACACATTTCTCTAAGCTGAAAAAACGATGAGCCTCAAACTGTGCCTTTCAGGGGAGTATGTGTTCACTGGGAACATCTGTAATGGTGGGTGCGAGAGCTGAATGACACCGTGAGGGCCCTGGAAGCTTTGCAGGATTGCTGGTCCCTGCCTGAATGGCCCTGGGTGACTCAAAGTGATGCCTGTTATCTCCTCTTCATCAGCTGGCATTCTTTTCAGATGAGGCTCCATTTGCTAACCTGTCAAACTCGCTAGCCAGCTTCCTTGGGTAAGTTTTTTTGTAAGCCTCTGAAACATTTTAGAACTATAAATGTGGGGGTGGGTATCAATCTTGAAGGAGATGGGATTTTCTGATAAACTGACTGGGAGCATGCATATGCCCTAAAACTTCATGGAGCCTGACACACACATGTGCAGGTACTACTCAGTCCACTCTTAGATGGTCCTGTGGTTTCACTTACCCTCTGCCCCACCCATTCCCTCAGAGGGGAGCCTGTGGACAGAAAACGTGGCTCCAGTCACACCTACTCCATTCGTGGACAAGAAGCTTGTTGGCATCTCTTTGGCTCAGTCACTTGGACTTCAGCCTCAAAGCTACTTAACCCCTAACAAGAGGTCATAAATGCTCTGGAGGCAATTTCTGAAACTGAGGTAATGGCATATGTATGACCACAGGCGCCTTCCTCAGCACTGAACAAGCCATACAACTTCTCTGGGTCCCAGGCTGGAGGAACTTGGAAAAAAGCAGCCTAGACTTCTTGCCCACCTGGCTGGTAAGACTTCTGGGGAATAACTACAAAAAGAGCTGTGGGCCTGGCTCTATTCCAAAAGAATGTCATGAGGCCTCTCACAGACCTGCAAGTTCTGGGTTTACAAAATCTCAATGCCCAAGTATAGAATCCGGCACACTTGGGCGGGGCAACTCATGGACTGTACATCCAGGTCCAAGTGGACATGATTTCCCTGACTCTCCATAATCCGTTTGCCACGGATTACGCAACATTTCCCTTTGTGAGGCTTATTAAAATGTTCTTCAAAATGGTCACAAAAACTTAATATTCTTCTTTTTGGAAATAGAGAACTCAGTCAATGTGGGAAACGAGAAGAAGTAAAAATCTTTGTTGTTTATGTTACACAGCTTCAGGTCATGTTCTTTTTCATCTGCTCACAGTAGGGCCCTCTTATTACCCAGTACTCTATCAGGCACCCAAATAAATCAAGAGTTCAAAAGTAGGAAAGCAAATCAGTTGCTTCTACACCACCATGTGTTCTGTGACAGTAAAGAGCACACCTGCTGGGGAGTCAGGAGGCCTGGGTCCATATCTGCCTTGCCCAGCATGAGTGGGCTATTACTACTTTTGAGCAAACTATTTCACACCCTCTAATTTTCCTCATCTACAAAGTAAAGAATTGTACTTTATTTTGTAATAACATTCTGGTTCTAAAAGTATTTTAGCTATTGAGGGCTGTTCCATTACAAAGAAATACATCTTAATGCATATAGCCCCCCCAAAAAACTAGTAAGAAGATAGCAGGATGTTAAATTTGGAGCATCTCTTAGCTGCCTATCGTTACAGAGAAAGTCAAGCATGGAATTTTAGCTCAAGTAGTGGTTCTCTCTGCACTTGACCTACCTATGTGAGAATAGGCAATTTTCTGCAAATGGACTAAAATGTCTATATCTGTGATTTTCTACCTTTATCAATGGAGCTACACTATTCATTTAATTTTACAGCATCATCCCTTTATCTATGATATACATGTGAAAATTAAAGGGATTAAAATTTTTGTTTAAAATCTAAAGTAACCCTGGAGATATTAGATAATAAATATCTAATACCTAGAAACCAGGAAAGAGAGCCTGGACACAGACCCACTTATGTTGAGATGGAGTTTGGAAAGATGTCGAGCTAAGAGATTTCAATGGACAGATCTCTCAATTGTCATTTTCAGCCCAGAGATACATTTCTGGCTATGGAAAAATTATAAGTCTAAGTGTCAGACCCGAGTAAATTGCTTCCCTGTGTCACTCTGGTTTAATATCCTGGCCTTTTACACATTCCACTGTATCCTCTTCTCTTACTCCCACACTAAAGGTGAGGAGTGGGGGTGAATTCTATCCAGTAAGTGAAGTACATCTCAAACCATGTGCTACATTTGTACACCAAATTAATTTTGTTCTAAGATGTATTTGCACCTTTCAACATTTCTGAGATGTGGATGAAATTTACAAAGGATGAGCACACTGCTTTATCTTGAAAAACTGTTAAGTCAATATTGAGTTATTCTCTACAATGTCTTAGATTTATTAAGTGTGTAGATGTGAGCATATGAGCACAAGAAGAAAATACCTTGGACAAATTCACACTGCCTCCTCCTTGTGGATTTTAAGTTCCTCTATCCCTAAAGATTACTAAGAATGAGACTACAAAAAGTTGAATGTTTGGGGGGCTGGGGAAAGAAATGGCAAGTTCCTTTTTCCAACTGAACCTAACTGAGCCCATGACCTGCAATGTGTCAAACACTTATGGAACAGGAATTGCAAGTTTCGAGACTGATGACAAGGAAGCGATAGAGGCAAAGAACAGTGGCCTATCTACCTAAGACTGAGGGTGGACAAAGCACTCTGGCTCCACGTGCATGTCTCATTACCTATTCTACTTTCTCCACCATCCAATTTCTGGCATACCATACCATCAATGGCCTCACTGCCCCTGCCACACGGTCCAGCAGGCTGTGTCATGCATAAACTCCTCAGCCCCAAGCTTTGCAAATTGTTATTGTTAGTAAGTAAACAGGCTTTTATATTTCATGAAGCTGAGCAAGGCTGCGGTGCAGCTCTGTTCTGCTGACTGCCTCCTCTTTATGAGTGAAATGAACACAATGTTTTGGAAAATGTCTGTATGTCATACACATAACAGGAGGGCAGCTCTATCACAAAGGAACATGGCTAGAGTGAGGAGCTCTTAAAACTCCAGGTTATCTTATGAATCAGGCTCTGGATGTTACTTGGACCTTACCTCCTTTCTCCCCTCTACTTCCTCAGCTTTTGGTTGTTTTGCAAAATCAATTATTTTACACTTTTTAGGCGCTATCCACAGACTTTAAAGGTAATGTAAAAAGGCCACATGTCTGCATATACAATGTATTATAGCTGCCATGTTAATGAACAGCATACTAAATCAACATACCCCAAACAATCTGCTCATGACCCAGAATTCCAGGATTTAAAAATGACTCCCATTTGATTCATTCATCTGGAAGTCTATCAACGCATCAGGAAAAATATGTAAAGTCAAATAAGACAATGGATTAAAAAAACTCACAGTAGCTACTAAATGTTTTCCTCCTGATAAACAGTGCAAGGTAAGAAAGAAATTTGCGTGAAAATCACTTTTTTAGAAAAATACAAAACACAAAATACCTCCCTAAGAAGTGATTTTGCAGATGTTGTTTCTAATCTTGCACTATGTAGAATCACATGGCCTTTGAAATTACTAGCATGGCCCTTGAGAAGCTAAACATCACAAAACTATATGATGGTTTTGGAGAAAGGATGGAGGACACTTGAATTTTTTCTAGCCACGATCTCTAATTTGCTTATTATTAGAGAAGGCAGGAGTAAATACAAAAGGGCTATTCCGGTCAGGCCACAGCTAATGTGGAGGAGAGAAAGCACATTCATACTTCTCCTGACTTGCTGCCTAATGAGTAGCAATTAATTCATCTTATTGTATTTCCAAATGCCAAAGACTCCATTCACATCAAAGAAAAAAATTTCAAGGCCTTTTACCATTGTTCATTTTTAAATGTACTGAGCTATATTTAGTATTTTATAATTGTCAACAGCATTTCCTTTAGTTCTGATGTGGGCCTTAGCATCATAAAGGATTGCCAATGAGAGGACTGGTAGGTGTGCCTTATGGGAGGTAGAGGTATGGCAATTTAGGTCAGTTCTAGGTCACAGCTGTATGTCTGGGAGAAGGCATCCTCTGACCTTAGTCCCTTTTTCTCTGGGAGGTGACAGCAAGGAGCAGGAGGTGATACTCTATGGAGAGGTCAGAAGAACCCAAGAAATGGCTGGCTTGAAGGAGTGAGCACTAGGCCCCATTGGTCATCTCTGTTTTCTTTAAGCACACAGATGAGATGGGTTCAGGGGAGGGACAAGATGCACAGTACCTCAATCAGGGAAGTGAACACT